AAAGGAGAAGAGAGATGAAAAAAAAATAAAGGTGTGGGTCCCACCTCTTTTGTGAGAGTCAAAGAATATAAGTTATGTTACTTAACGATAAACATTTTTTTATATAAATTTGTTACAAATATGTTTTTTTTTCATGAGCTAATTATTTTTGTTGATATTTTTTTATTAGAGAAAATAGACAGTATATATATGGATCCGTCAGATATATTATTATAGAATTTTTTTTTGTCCTACAACCCGCTTTTAAAGTTACTTTTTTTCTAAATTACTTATTTCTCTTTACTTTATGTAAAAAAAATTAATTTTAATATTATAAATATATATTTTTTGAAATACATAATTAAAAACGAATTGAATCTCATTCTATGTAGCACCGATACGACGCGCGACACGTGACACGACACGACACGACACTTCGACACGTCAATCTTAAAAAATTATAGATTTCGACACGTTTTAATATTAAATAATATTTTTAATTTATATAGTGTATATTTTATTTAATATTTAATAGTTTAACAAAAAAATGAAACTAAATTAATAATACCCATCAACACATTATAAAAATGGAAGTTTTAATAAAAAAAATAAGAACTTGGATGAAAAAGAGATATAATATAAGATGGAAGCATTAATAATACTATCACATAATACTTTTTCTTTTATATTTATATATATATATATATATATATATATATATATATATATATATATATATATATATGTTCTTATAAGGGAATAAGATCTGTCATTTTAAAGGATATAAGTTTATATCCTTTTAGATCCTAACTGTTGATTTCCGTCCATCAACGGTTATAATTTATTGGATCAAAATTATTAATTAATTAATATTAATTTTGGCCCATTAAGTATGACCCAATAGATTATAACCGTTGATGGACAGAAATCAACGGTTAGGATCTAAAAGGATATAAGCTTATATCCTTTAAAATGATAGATGTTTTTCCCTTCTTATAATAACTCAATTACGTTTCGTTGTATATCAACGGGAATAACATACGAACAGTCACAACTCACAACATATTGACAAGTTTGAAAAAAAATTTATGAATTTCTGCAGCAGAAATATTTGTTATGTAATACTTACGAGTGAATTTTATTTTGAAGAGTGTTCTTGGATAGCACAACCAGCAAATCCAACATAACAAGCCCAACCCCCTAAAGATGGTCTATGTCAACTCTATTGGCCACTGCTTGCCACCCATGTTGTCGCTGTCCCCATGCAGCAACTCCCCATCGTGAGACATCAATATGTCTTACGTTAGGACGCCACTTTCCTTTGGTAGCCTTCCAAACACCTCTAAAAAGGTATTTTCCCCTCCCAATTATTGACTCAGCCCCTATTACCAGCATAGCAGGGGCTGCAAGGCACTTTGCAGGGCACCTTTGGCCCTTCTCCAGGAGAGTTGACCTGACTCACTCTTCTAGGCAAGCAAAACTTCATCCCCTCTTATAAATACCCTTACATTCACCTTACGGAGGCATCTTCACCATATATATTGTTACTCTGCTGCACCCAAGACCCATTGTAGCCCACCACACACATAACACCCACTCCACTCTTACCGTTGATACCCTTTTTGAGACTTCATCGTTTAGCTTGGTCTGTATTTGTGCTAGAGTTGATATCCCTAAAGTGATTACTATACCTCGTTGGGATTACATTCAAAGCCTGCAGCTCACCAACCGTACAAAGAGAAAAGATAAAATATATTAATAAAATCTACATAATTTTATGTGAGCATGACAAAAAAAATATTTTTACTATTTCTATTTAAAAATAGAAATATTTTATTTTTTGTTCTTTTATACACATTTTTATAAAAGGAAAAAAATGCAAAAACTGATTGACTTTCTAATAAAATTAAGCATGTGAGGAATTATGACTTGGAGATTTTGCATACATAGTTGGTATCTCTGTTCAATTTTGCTGATAGAATATTTGGAGATCTTAAAAGGGTCTGAGCTTGTTTGGATTTTGGAATGCTGGTTGGGGAAAGGGGGAAACGTTATTTTGGATTGTAACTCTTTGTCTGCTATTTCTCTATTTACTAAGATTGGTGATGATGCTCGTGAGTCTCGTACGCTAGTTTTTATATGAGCATGGTTGGTGTGTGACTGAGGTTCAGGTGGTGCATATTTTCAGGGAAGCAAAGTGTTATGCTTATTGGTTGATGAATCTCCTTTCCTTCTTCAAGTGAATGTTGCTTCTATCTCTCAATCCTTTCTCTGGTTGCGAAGCTTAGTGCACCCACTGTTACAATGAGGGGCTAGCCCAAACGGGTCGTACTCCGAGGGCATGGTGCCCGGAGAAGGTTGAATGAGGATACCTCATGGCAATGTACCAAAAAAAAAAAAAAAAAAAAAGCTTTTCTTGATTTTTAATTTTTTCTTGGGAATAACCTTTTTTCATGTAAAAAAAATTAAGCAATATAAAGGGTGAAACTCTTAATTATGACCGTGAATCTTCTCATATCTATTTCTCTTTTCATATATATTAAATAAGTGAAATTCAATTATAACTTATCAACATTAATAAAAAAAAATATAAAAATTTAACACAACCCTCACGAGTGAAATTTTCAAATGAGAAGATCCATTTTCAACTCTTATACTTGTGCACATTAAATGCATACATGATAAATGGGTTACACACATCATAAAAGTCTAAGCCTTAAAAAAAATAATTAAAAAAATTCTTAATTACTGCAATATTTAAGAAATTGACCTCTTAATAATATTTATAAAAATAATTTCATCAAAGAAAAAAATTAGTCACGTGTTGGCCGTTTTATGATTTAAATGAAGAGAAAAATATATTAATTTAAAGGATGTAAAATTATATTATTTTAAATGACAGAAATAGATAAATCATCGAAGAGATAAAGTGAACAAACAAGTAACTAAGGGTATGAGTCTTACCTCTTTATGAGAATAAAATTATATCATTTAAAAGGCAAACATTTTGCAACCACTAAAAGAAAATTATATTAAATGAAGGAGCTACTTGCACCCAACCGACAACACAGCCGTCCTCGTGTTTGTTATTTTTAACTTAAAAAAATAAAATAAAAAATACTACACGATATCTTTCCACTTTTATGCTCTGAATTAAATAAAGCCTATTTAGAGCCGGCGCGTTTAGGTTCCTTCCTAATTTTTTTTCATGTCTTGTTTATTTTAAGAATATTTTTTTATAAAAGATAAAATTATTTAAATTTTGAAAAAAATATTTAATTTTGAAAAAAAAAAAATTGACTTTTGACTTTTATTTTTTAAAAAAGCTAAAAATTTTAATTTATAAAAAAAATATAAAAACATTTTGGGGAAAAAAAATCATTTAAACGAGCTCTTAATAAACATATAAACAGTTAAATTAAATTTAAAAAATTATTTAAAAGTAATAACTTATAATTGGCTAAAACAACATTCTACGACTTTTGGCAAAAGAATTGTCCGGTAATGTTGATTGGATATTTTTTTTAAAATTATTATAGTTAAACACGTTACTAATATTAACGAGACTAGTCCCGTGAATGATACTGACGGAACTTGAGGCCAGTGTTAAGCAGTTCTGTTACCGTAAAACTTCAAAAGACGTTAACTTTTAACTCGAGTATCCAAATCAGATGATTTTTTATTTGATTTCACATAATTTTTTGAGATTTACGTAATGACATCTCATTTGACATATTTTATCTCCCACAAACATAGTTTAAATTTGTAACAATGGTACCATAAGCTAACACATATGCCATCTTCTGGATTTAAATGATTTTGTAATTGTGAAACTATTGTTGCAAATTCAAACTATGTTTGTAGGAAATAAAATATGTCAAATGAGGTATTATTGCATAAATCTTGAAAAGTTAAGTGAAATCAAATAAAAAATCATCTGATTTAGATATAGGAGGCAAAAGTTATGGTCTTCCGGAATTTTACGATAACAGGATTGTCCTGCCTACGTGACGCTAAGATGACACGAGTTCCTTCAATATCATTGAAGGAACTAATCCCGTCAGTATGAGTGACATATTTGACTGCATTAATTTAAGGAAAATAATAATCTCATATTACATAAGAAAACTATCTTATGACATACATCCATAGAATTTCATGCCATTTTTTTCTTTTCTTTTCTTTTCCTTTTTTAAATTATGAACCCCACATATTTATATCATCCAAATGAGAGTTTTATCTCATATAACATGAGATTAATAAATTCTTTAATTTAAAAGAATTTATCCAACCAATTTTAACCAGATAATTCTTTTATGAGTTCGCTTTTTTCTGCAGTTACTGCAGATAAGTTATCTACAGTAAGCCTAGTACGACGTCATTTTGGGACGAAAATCATGATATTTTATAATTTTAATTTGTTTCAGGATTATAATTGTCTTTATATATTTTTTTAAGATTTCAATACCAAAACAACGTCGTTTTGAAAATAAATACAAATAACTTATCTGCAGTGAGTGCATAAACAATTTTTTCCTTCTTTTATTCAAAAAAACCTTAAAATGGTCCTTTTCCCACTTATAATTTCTTCTCAAGTTGTCAGTGTCTCTGGGCCTTTCATAGCTTCAATCTCATGCAAAGGCAAAAAGCATCACACTCTCCCATTTCCTTTCATCACCGTCGGTGCCTCTAGCACACACGCATCCCCATTCATATCTAATCCAACGGTGCTAACCAAAAGGAACGCCAACCCATAAAAGAGACTACACGACACTCCAAATCCATGTCCAAGAATTGGCTTTTTTTAACCTTTCTTTTCCTTCTTTAATCAATTAATTTTTTTTTCTCCTTTTTGAAATCTTCTAGGCATTTTTCCCTCTCCTACTCTAGTCTAAGTCTAACAAACTATCTTTACTAAGTTTCCCAAATTAAAATATTCCCTTGAATTCTTTCCTTTCCATTTTTCTCTTATCTTGACCACTACTCTCTCTTTCCATTCTCCTATATAATGTTCCATTCTCCATATCTCTCTCCTCATCCCTTAGCTTCAGCCCATTAGCTTCAGCCCATTTCTTCATCACTAGCCATAACCTTATACCATTTTAGTTCCATTCCATCTTCTCTTCCTTCCTCTCTTTCTTCATTTTATTTCACAAGGAAATTAATGGAGGAAACTTTGGTGCCAAAAAGGCCCAGAGAAGAAGCCCTAGTGGAAAAAGATTTGGACTTTGAAGAGTACTCAAAGAGACACAAGCCATACAACCACATACTCTCACTTCTTGATTCAGAGGAAGAGGAGTCCACAGAAGACCTCTCCACTCTGATGACAAGCCTTCAAAAGGAAATAACTTGTGTCTCTAATAACTCAGATACCCTTTTGATGTGCCCAGCTCAAGAAAATTACCAACACAATCTCACCAGTTTAGAGGAGAGTTCAACCTCAACTTGTCTTTCTGCTCCTCATGTCTTGAAGGAAGATGAGGAGAATGATAAGGAGAAGGTCATGAAACATCTCCTTCAAGCTTCTGATGATGAACTTGGGATTCCAAACACTGACGGGGCTGGGTTACTGGATTTTGGGGAAGATCATGGATTTAACAGTGGAGAAGATGTGTTTTCTTCTTTATGTGACAAGTTATGGGAGCTTGAGGATGAGACAGCTAACTACTATGCTTTGTTGCAGTCTGAACTCTTCCTGTGGGGGCATTAATTAGTAAGTCAAAAATCTCAGGTCATTACATAGAAAGAAGGAGGCAATTTTTTTTTTATTTTTTTATTTTTCTTTTTTTGTAAGACCTCTTTTGTAAAGTTCACGGGATGCCTCTGGTGTTGTTATTCTCTACTGTTAGGCAGAGCCCCCTACTGCCTTTGCAGGGCAATATGTACTTCCGCACTAGAAAAATCAATTAGATACATACATACGTTTTTTTGGTATGAAAAAAGAAGAACAGCAACTATATATATATATATATATATATATGTTTTATTACTATAATGTTATATGATATAAGAACATTTTCCTACCCTCACAATAAAGAAGAGAGAGAATGTGGAATGATGAAAGAGAAGAAAAAAAAACATGTGGACCTCACTTTTTAATTGTGTGTGTAGGAAAATTTTCTTGGGTTATGTAACATGATAGTAATAAAGTCCTATAAATATATATATATATATATATATATGAAAAATAAATTTTATGTTGTAAGAGAATTTTAATCTCGAATCAACTGTGAGATTCACCTATTAAAAAAACAAAAGACATTTTTTTATGGTGTCTAGAAAAACAAACTCTCACTATATATATATATATATATATATATATATATAGATGGAAAAAATATTTATTTTTTTAAATGACTTAACTTGTATTATTTTACTTTCAAAGAGATGGAACTCATATTTTTATTGTTTTTGTCAACTCTTTCTCTTCATTTATCTATCTCTTTTTCTTTCTTAAAATGACACAATTTTATAATCTTTAAAATGACACCCACTCTATCTCTCTATATATATATATGGGTTTATCCTCTATCATTTAACATGACCACAAAAATTTTTCTACACACACAATATTTTGTGGGGCCCGCAGCAAAAAAAAAAAAAAATATTCGGCACGCAAAACGAATCTCTATAACATAACACAATCACTTTTCCTATAACATAACTCTTATTAAAGCCTATATATATATATAAAAGAAAAACACTTCTTCTGGTAAGTGTGTTCTTATGCGATGCACACAGCGAAAATTTTTGTTCAATTTTTTATTTTGTTTTTCAAATATACACGGTGGGCCCCACCATGGTTTACTGTTTGGGGAGAAGAGAAAGTGTTCCAGTTGAATGAGAGCTTTAAACCCATATATATATATATATATATATATATATAGAAAAATTATATTATAAGAGAATTTTAATTTCATGTCATAGATACTTTAAAGGCATGTTTGATGGATAGTAAATGATAAAATCTGATAGTAAAAGATCTAATAATATAAGACCTGATAGTATATGGTTTGATTGTATAGCACGTGATTAAATTTTAATACTATTCAGCATTTAGTATGGTGTTGTACAAGATATATCCTCTAGTTTTGATAATGCATTCTATAATACTAAATAGGATAAAAGTAAATATTTTAAAGAAAAATGCCCTTTATAAATAATTTATGTAATTCATCCAAATATGTCATATGATAATGATTTTTTAAAAAAATATATTGAAATATATTAGTTTTTATAAAAACAAAAATTTCCAATATTTTAAAAATTAATATATTAAAAAATTAATTTTTATTTTAATATATTAATATTGAAATGATATATTAATTATTGAGAATTGTACTTGTAAGCAATATTAATACATCAATCTCTTATCAGGCTTAATTCTACCTTCTTAGGCCTGATTAAGTTATACATCAATTTGATGTATTGAGGGGTTCTGCTGTATAAATTTATACTATACGATGGTCACACCAAACAACTGAAAATGTCATAACGTATAGTATAAACTTATACTATCAAGTCTTATACATCACACCAAACAAGCCCTAAGTGTGGGATCCACCTGTGGGATCCACCTATTTAAAAATAATAAAATAAAATAAAATGAGTGACACTTTTTTATGGTGTGTATAGGAAGGGTTTGTTTTCTCCTATGAAGCACCGACACTTCAAAAACTTTGACGTGTCGTATCCAACACTTTCGACACTTCAACACGTGTTTTAGAGACTCAGAAAAGGTTCAAAGGATGCGTTGTTTTGCGTTTTTAGTTCTAACTATTAGATTTTTTGGATTACGACTATTATTTTATTGAGTTTGATATAAATATTTGAGATATCTTATGTTTCTTTGCAAAATTTATGGCTATTATAACTTTAGCTTCATTTTTTTGTTAAATTATTGAATATTAAATATAAGATACACTATATAAATTAAAAATATCATTTAATATCAAAACGTGTACTAACATGTCGAAATCTAATATTTTTTAAAATTAACGTGTGTCGTGTCGTGTGTCGTGTCTCATGTCGGTATCGGTGCTACATAGGTTTTCTCATACAACATGAGAAAAACAAATCATATATATATATATATATATATATATATATATATATATATAATATTTGTGCTTTTAAATAACATGGCTTGTATCATTTTATTCTTATAAAGAGGTAGGACACACATTTTTTCCCCCATTCTCGCTTCTCTTTATTTATTTATTTCTTTAACTTAAAATAACATAATTTTACATTATTTAAAATAATACACATTTTTTCTATATATATAGAGAGAGGGGGGAGAGAGAAAAAGAAAAAACTAGGTTTAAACTAAGTTTTTTTTTTTTGGTAAAAAGAAAGAACTAAGTAACTAACGTGTGAAAGTGTTAAGAAAAAGAAAGAAGACGAGTTAAATTTTGTGAAACCAATGCATTTAAATGAAGAGCTTATTTATACAAGAGTTTTGATTATAACAAACAAGCTTAGAAGCGACTTCAAAGATAATACAACTTGCAACAATCAAAAAGTCCAAGGAAGCAATTCAACAATAGCAAATCATTCAACACACATGATCAAGATCAAAGATCAAGATTGCAACATATCCTTGAGAGCTTAGATCTAAATGTAAAGGTAATTGATTAATGATGCATAAAAGAGCTCAAAGGATATTCAACTCCATGCATGCATTATCCATGACACTAATCACTTGAAAGCTTTAATATTTATGAAAAGGACTCTTGACATATTTCGTAACCTCAAAACATTTTCAACAAGTCAATGAATTACATTAAAAGTGATTAGAGACAAGTAGGAATGCTTTACAGCTCAAAAAATTGCAATATTTACGCTCTGTCAATAAAGTATTCGAATACTTTCTTGATTGTATTTGAATACTTATGCTATGAACAAAGTATTCGAAAACCTTAAGAAAAGTATTCGAATACTTCACGAAAAGTATTCGAATACTTGCTGGGCAATAAACATTCCAATGGCTAGTTTCGTACCAACACCTATATAAACTCATTTATTACGATTCAGAACACTAAGAATTATTGTTCCATTGATTTTGCTATCATTCTTGACTATTCTCATTGAATCGAATACATTCATTACTTGTTCTTACTCATATTGATCTTAAAATTCCTTTGAGCTTTATTCTTGTGTCATTGATCAATACCCATAAGCTTTAACTTGTATAATATGTACTTCAAGAGTACAAATCCATTTCTAAACACTCTCATTCTGTTTATTTGAGTTGAGGGTAATGAGACCCTAGTGAAAATGTTGCTCATAGCATAGGAAAGTGAGTGGAAGTGTAAGGGTTTCAAGAACCAAAATTCTTGAAGGTTGTAGTCGTTTGCCAAGCACCATTGAAGCTTGACCATTAGTGGAAAGTTGAACGAGCGGCTTCAATCTGGATGTAGGTCACGGTGGTGCTGACCGAACCAGGATATATCTTGTTTGCAATCTCTCTAACTCTTTATCTTTTTACATAAGCATTGTTAGAATACTTGAGTATATTTAAATTTACACTTTGCATATTATTTGCTTCTATTAATTTCTATTCTTTAAGCTTTGCTTGTGTCAAAATCATTTTAACTCAAGAAATTCGTTTTCAAGAAAGAATGTGAGACATTTTGCGAAAATATTTTTAAAACTCAATTCACACCCCGTCTTGAGTTTGAGGCCACTTGCCCAACAAAATTTACTGGGAGGGTTATTTTGAGTTTGAGTTTGAGTGGGAGTTTGAGGCATTAGTGAATTATGTTAAGTATATTTTGAATCTTTGATGATTGGTGATTTTTTTTAATATTTTTATATAGGATATATATATTTATATGTTTTTAATATATAAAATCGGGTCAGCGTAGTGATCTCGTGATCCCCGGTTGAACCCGTGACCCCTGACCTCGGTCGAATCGATAGCCGGGCCGAATTTTTAAACACTGAAAAAAAGTGATAAATATAACTTATTTCTATTTGGAAAAAATGTTTTGTAATTTTATTAGGATTTGCTTTTTGTCGTGTCGCGGACTAAATATTATATACCTATAGATACAAATTAAGTATGGGTTCGATATTTAGAAAATAAAAATAAAAATAAAATTAGGTTCTATCGATGAATCCTAATAGTAAAGCCAAAAACTATCAATAGATTTTGTTGCAGGAATAAACATTATCATTGTTGCAACATCAGCAACTGATTTCCCTTTTATCTGTGCAAAATTTTGGAAGTGGATTTATAACTGTGTGTCTATGCAGATGTTGCTTTGTGCTTAAGATAGGGGTTTGCAACTTGGATAGTTGAAAAATAATATTATGAAAAGGACTATCTTTTTTTTTATAGTGGTTTTATTCTTTTTCTCGTCATTAATTTATTTTGCACTGCCTCCTTTTTTTGTCGTACCTCATTTTCTTATTTGCATGCTCCTTTGTTGAGAGAAGGCTTATAGGCAATAGGGCACACTTGCCAATATTTTGTATTCTAGTTGTTGTCTTGATGCAAACTACGTTAAATTTTATTTTGCTTTGCCTCGTTCTATTGTCGTATCTCATTTTTTATTTGCATGTCCCTTTATTGAGAGAAGGCTTTAGACTATAGTGCAAACTTGCCAGTAGTTTTAGATTTTAGTCAATGTTTTGATGTGATCCTTGGATTTTTTCTTACAGAAAAAAAAAAAAAAAAACTTTTCTGCCAACTTTCAATGTCTAATTATTCTTTTCAATATTATGCCTTTACTTTCCTTAACATTATTGACTTGGAAAATAAAAGAAATATGAAAAATATTTCATTTCGATTGTGTTTAAATATATTGTATGTAACTTGGATAGTTGGCATAGTGATTTAGAAAATGTACTTTATCTCTTGGCTTTTGGGGTTAGAAATTCATATAAGTCTATAAATTATAAAAGACTCAATATTAAAGGTACGTAAGTTTCT